GCACCAGTGCATCATCAAGGTCACTCTGCAGTTCGTGCAGGAGGCGTGAGTGTTCTTGATTGTCTGTTCGTCTAGCACCACCATTGTGCGGGAGGCGGGCACCAGGTCCAATGCATTGTACAGTGATTGTGAGTCCAATTAAACTTTTGTTACTGGTAATTCATTTGTCTAGACATCATCATTGCTGTTGTCATCTACCCTTTATGTTATCCCCACCCAATCTACCGGTAGTCTGCAGACCACCGAGATATATTTTCTCAAAACGGCCGGCCTCTACCACTCACACGTTCTTTGCTTAGCCACTTGAGTTAAAGAGCGTGGTAGGGTGAATCATTACAATACCCTTTAACCTGATGCCAGGTATTTGAACCAAAAATATGTTCTGATTCTACATACATTCTTACAATGAGTGTGTGTGCATGTACATGTCTACGTTTACCATTTTTCCCTTCGCAAATCTGCTAAACTTAATGAGAGTACAATGCCAAACACTAGTATACATGAACATGTACAACTGCCTAATTTTTATCACACAGATACATATATAGAATATGACAGGAAACAAAATCCATTGTCTGTCACACAAAAAAGGGGGAAAAAAACCACTGATCAACCTGACAACCCATCAATTCCATGTTAACCAAATCGATGTAACCTACATCAGTGTTCTCCACGGGCCGTTTTGGCGGGGCAGACTGCCCTGCCAAAATTTTGGGCCGCCCCGTTAAAATTTGTGCTCCCCTGAGTAGTGTTTTTTTCCCTGAATGTCTACTTACTCAAGATTTTAATTAAAAAGAGGTTTACTGCAGTTTGTGGATCGAGTTTGAGTTTACCGACGACGCTTATGATGTACTGACAATGGTGATCGTTGGCTGCCTACCGTTATGCATAGTCAACCTCTTGTCCCAAAAAACCATCTTTTTTTAATGAGGCTTGTTTTTACTGTGCCTTTTCACAGTCAACTGATCATTGAGAAAGCCGCATGCTCTGCTCATCTCAAGCATGTTTCGAGTCACTAACATGAGGTTCTGCTAAAAATGCTCCGGAATTTAAAATAGTTTCGTCATCAAATCTTTTGATGAAAAAATTCCTCCTTGAGAATATCCTAGCCAATATTTCACGTTGTAAAGGCAATCAGATTTGGGGCCAAATTACAGATGAAAGTGGACTGGAAATTGCTCCAGAATACACCACAGAGTTGTAGAATCCAAAATTTTCCGGGGCCCTTAAGCGGGCCCTGGACCCCACGCCATTAGGGTTTCGTGCTCGCAATTTTGTCTGCCGCCCTGCCAAAATTTTCGGCCGTGGAGAACACTGCTAGATACATGTAACTACTGGTACTGCACTGAACAGAAAAATCATTACACAGAACTTCTATGTCATCTACTGTACATGTACATGTATGTACAGCTACATGTATTTCAAAGCAAACAAATGGCCACTGTGAGGGCAGACACCGTCATGTTTAGCCGTTTGTGCCAAAATACCTTCCAGGGAGCTGACATGGTTTCAGGAATGTCCAGATGTTGCGAGCCCAATGTGCAGGGATAATGATAATATGTGCATAGAGATATTCCATAATATGCGCAATACCGTACAAGAACTGACTATTGCATATATCATTTACCTACAGCCTTAATTACCGGTACATGTACATGTATTCATTATTAATTGTAACAACTTGGAAAACAAATGAGGGTTTCTTTTCTCCAAGTTTCAAGTTGACTTTTCAAGTTTTGAGTTGACTTGTAAATTTTTTTTTAAATTTGAAGTTGAATATTTGAGTCAGTGAATGTCAGTGAACTGACATTTTGAGTTTTGAGTTGACTTTTCCAAGTTTCACATTTCAAGCTAACCTACATGTATTTTCAAGTGAACACCAATTTGACCAGTCAAAACCCTAAACTGCTGAATCATTAAACAAGTACATCCAGTAAAGCCCATTTCTGTTAACCTTGCTTGGAACAATACACATGTAGATGCAGACAAACTGACTGCATTTACAAAAGCATTTTCCCAATTAGCGGGAACCATGAATGTATTACATGTACTGCTTTGAACATAAATGTATTTGCTTATTTGTGCATATCACTACAGTGTGCTAATATGGTACACATGAATGGCAGAGTGTTAAAAATGTTACAGATTATCATTTCCAGATACAAAAAGCAAATAGTAAATGTAACCATTTTGAAAAGGTGTCATCAATCCTGTTTTATGCTTATGATTTAAAATACCTGTACCAGTATGTCAGAATCCTCTTCATCATGTTCATGGGCAGTTTCACGGGAAAAGTTGCAAAAGGAAAAATTGGATATTTATGCTTTTTTGATTGGAAAACTTTGCTGAAACTTAATGCTTTTTGTCTCACATGGAGTTTTACATATTTGCAACCTCCAAAATAGTTTTCATCATGCACGGATCATGTGCTGATCACTCTTCTGTTGTTTTAATTGTCTACATTTCTAAAGCATCCTTCAGTATAGCTTTCACCATGTATACATGGAGCCATGCTTTCAAATGGTTACAATCCCTGCCTGAAGTCATACACACTGTAGACACCGAATGTACAGTACATGTATGAGCCAAAAGTGCTCTGTTACACAAGCAACCTTAACATGGCAGAGAAACTACAAATGAAATTTAACTGGGACCTCAGGAAGAGAGAGAAATGTCTGAAGAAGGGGCCATGCAGGACAATTGTGTATTTAAACAAACTGAAGGAAAAACCCAGTGATGTATGAGGAATACAAAGCAAAGGAGAGAAAGAGAAAGGCGAAAAGCTATGAACGTTTATGGCTGAAGTAAACTTGCTGAGGTTGATATTCTTTAAAATGATAAATGCATATACATGTAATTTTTTGTTTCTGCACGGTTTATGTATTCATGTGTATGCATTTCTTTGTAGGGGCTACCGTAGGCCAACATCAGTACTTGTGTCATTGTTTTAAAGTTGTGGTTTTACCATCACGATTAGTAAATCATCCTACTGATGGCCACCATGGCCATAACTTCAGTCTGCTTCATTATTACATCTATAGGAGAAGGACAGTATCATTCTACACCTTGTTTATAGTGTCCATTCCTGAACACATGTACACAACAGCTAGCCAGAGCATGACAAGGTACCAAATTATCTGTACAGTTGCATGCATGGAAGCCAACTACATGTACAGTGTACATGTACACATGGAGGCTTGTAGTTCCCACTTTACCTAAATTTGCATGGAGCAATTTGTATAGTAACTGAAACATGTACATTTTACATCACCCAATTAAGTTAAGCATATGATGGGCCTACATGTATTGCCAGAAAGTGGGAATAAACTAAAGGTCTTGACATGCAGGACTGCACACACATGTTCTCAATTTACCGCGGTATCTTCAAGCAACTTGGATTCCCAATTCTGACAGGTAGAGCCATGGCAACAGTGTGATACATGTACATACATGTACCTTGTACACTGCTTCCGACTCACACTGCACACCTGAAGCATTTACTTAAATTCAAAGGTAGTGCATTCATGCGAAAGGCCCCTACAACATCTTTACTGCATATCAAGTTTGCATGGAGATGAATTTTTTATCACACTTGTCATGTTTGTGGAACACAGAATAATGTCCACGTACATGTAATGCGTCTGTGTCCTGTGTCTGTCAAAATCAAGTAAATGCAGAAATTCTATTTTGGATGAAGCAGGAGGGCTATATGTTTCCCCCAAAAGTCCAGGTTTGTATCAACACTGACAAATTTTATAAGAGAAATACAATGTACTAGTACATGTAGTGCAATCCAATACTGGCTCAATTACTTCTCATGAACCCAGAAAAAAGACTCCAAACAATAACTCTATGATTTTAATTTGGTTTCCAACAATATGTACACGTATACATGTACATGCATACATGTATGTACATGTACCCACATGTACATGTATCTGTTAAGCCACTTACTACAAATGAGCAATGATGAAGAAACATTTTACAAATACACATGTACATGTAGTACATTTGCAAAAGCTCTTTAAGCTTTAAATAAACATTTGTGAAGACAATGGAGAAATACTCAGTTTTAAACGTGAGAGGAAACCCTCAAAAAATTTTCTGGAGAACACTTTTGAATCAGAGCAAAACCCACTCCACACTCCACAGACAGGGTGGGACTCGAGCCCCAGTCACAGAGGTGCAAGGCAGGAACAGAATCACTGTACTCTTCACCAGTAATGGTGAACTATGATCTTGGGCACTTGGATTTCCTCAATGGGTTCCTCCTTTTCTTCATACCGGAAGTAAGAGACAACTACCAGTTTGGTGGCATTCATCCAAGCCTTTTGAAATTTGGCATCATCTATTTCAGCCATTGAGTCATACATCATGGGTCTCACCTCCCTGACCAGCTTGAAGCCGCCTGCAGTGCTGAGTGTGAACAAGAACATTCTTCCATCACAAAATTCGCCTCCGATCATTTTGTTGCCGTAGAGGCAGGGTACAGTCAACTTCAAGGGCTCTTCAGAGTCATCCACTTTGAAGCTTTTTGTATCACCATAGTAGCCCCCATCTAAGCCAAACATGCCCAGCTCCCCACATTTTGACCGAGCTACAATAAATGCATTACCCGGATCAAAGTGATACAACATCCGACTGCTAACATCGAAGACATCTTCTTCATTAAAAAAGCTGACACTAGGACAGTAATATGCTTCTATGAGCTGCCCTGATGACAAGTTCCACATTTTCATGACAGGGTCATTTTTCTTGTTGGTGCCGATAACAATCCCGTCACCAAGATGGCACGACACCAAATAGTTCAACCCTGTGTTGATTGTGTGCAGACGGGTGCCACTTTTGGCATCCCACAAGCAAATTACTTTAGCTTTGTATGCAGCGGCAACTATTTTATGATGATAGTCAACATGAACAAGGTGGGAGCATCCCATACCATAACGGAGACTGAAATTGGAGGTATCTCCAGACCCAAAAACCTTAATTTCATTTTTTACCTTCCTCGCCTTAAGATTATACCGCAGTCGCTCCTCTGCCCTCCAAATAGGTGTATCATTGTCAAAATCATCCTTATCATCCCCATCACTGTCATCATCTCCACCATCACCTCTGTCATTGCCATCTTCACCCTCACTTTCCTCTTCACTACTACTAACATTATATATATGGTGCTCGTCCTCTGGATGGGCTGTGCTGACAATAATTTCACCATCAAACAGGACATGAGTCACTTCCTGATAAAACTTTCCCAGCACTTGCAGCTTCTCTCCAGTCTGGGCAGAGACGGTTCGGATCCGGCCATCTGTGCATCCAACTGCTACGATGCCACTCTTTACCTTCAAGGAATTAGCGCTCCCGCTAGCCTTCACTGTAATGGTGTGCTGACAACCCCCCGTTGTCATGTCCCAGATCTTCAGGGTGCCATTTGAGAGACTCCCAGCCAGGCAGGCTCCTTCAACATCCAAACTGCTCACTGTCAAATCATCAGTTTTGTTTGGATCCAACAACTCAGACTCAACAGTATCATAATAATATTCACGACAGCCGGCTGCTCCGAACTCAAAGGAGACAGTGTGGCAACGGTTGTTGATCCAGTTGGTCTCAAGGTGCTGCGCTCTCATGTACACTTCCTTCCATTTGCAGGTCTGGGCCAGCGTAGGCCAGTCGGAAGCAGCTACAACTGCTTCCCTCGGGAAGGCAATACTAGTGCTGCCCCCCTGCAGAGCAGTTGACACCTCCTTGCAAAGATCCTCTGTGGTGCCAAAACGCTCCCAACTTCTACGCCGACAAAGAGGGCGCCAGAGGGCATCCTGATTGGCCATATTCCTCCAGAATCGGTTACAAAGTGCCATGTGGCACAGATCTTGGGCTGAGATATACTGGAGTATGCCATACTGCAATTCTGTTGGCAATTCCAGTAAATTGTCAGATGCTGAGGAAGACTCCATCATTAGAGGGGCTGCGTTTTGAAAACAGAAAGAAAAGCCAGGAAATACATGTATATTCTAAAATATATACAATCTACATTCATGTCTTTAGACATAAGCCGTGTTCACAATGGACATTTTGGTCAAACTTACTGAGATGATCATTCCTACCGCGCAGTCATTTCTGCTCAGGAAAAATTACCAAGACACTTTTCTTGAAATGGAAAGTCCAGTGCGGACAGTGCGAATTGGTAATAACATGGGAAAATGGCCGATCCATATACGTCTGGCCCAAGCACAGCGGCATGCTGCATTCAGGGGAAACTACATTGTACACATGCGCGTTGCATATTTTGCCTCACTATGGCATGTGGCAAATACTTCCTGTAAATCTTTTCCTATTTTGGTCTTAATCAAGCCAAAAATTGTTATTGACACTGTTGTAAGATTAACTGGTGTTAAGAGTGCACCATTCCCAGATGATAATGAGGACTGTAACGTTGTGTCTGAGGACAAAAATGAATGCAGAAAAATCACGCAAAGAGCCCTCATAAGTCACTGCATTGCTAGCTCAGTTACTTTACCTGCGGTCTTGGTAAAATTTCTTGTGTTGACAGTCCAAGTGCAAACAGTACTAGTAGGTCACATTTGAAAATTTTTTATTTGACCATTGGCTCAGCAAAACTCACAGGAAAAAAAGTCCAGTGCAAACACGGCTAGACATCTGTTTCTGGGATGAACGTCTGTACCGGTATTGAGTGACAAACTGTACAATGTCTAAATCCCATCTCACACATGACCATATTTGCACACTGCAAGCGATGATACCAGAGGAAGATGGTCAAAATTATCCCCCTAATCACTCACTGTACAGTGCCCTGTGAAAAACCAATTGGTGACTGGTTTACAGTCCCATATACATGGAAATGTACATGTCTGACAAAATCAACACAGTAATAGAGATGTACGTTACAAAGTTACTCACTGTCCTACCCAGTGTCTCCCTGATTATTTACACATGTATTTCTTGTATTACCCAGGGTTGCCCATTCACATTAGTATGTGGTCTTCCATGTGGCCTAGCACAAAACAGTTTAAATGTTATATTACAGTAAACTATGGGGTATGGGCCTAGTAAAACAAAATACACACATACAGTATACGTAGAAACAGAAAAAATAATAATAAAAAAATCAAATTATTTCACATTTTTGTCTTGTGCACTGCAAAGCCCATCTTTACATGTACACAGGTGCATCAGTAAGTACATGTACTGTAGGTATTAAAAAAACCAATATTATACATATACTTGTATATGTACATCCTTTCAAATTTCATTACAAAGTCCTTTCAAAGTTGTAGTCTTTTGGTGTTACATGTAATGTAAGTCTTTTCAGTCTTATAGTCTTTTTTTTTTCATTTTTGGGGAGGTACTGTACTTTTCAATTAATTAATTTGTTTTTGTCCCTTTTTTTGAAATTGAATACTGGTCTCTGAGTCCCTTTATTAATTCAGTTTCCTGCGACCTTTCCCTCAAAGATCCTTGGTTTTGTAAGAGATTTTTGTTGTTCTGCAAGTTCCTCCATAGTATATACATGCCAGTTTTCTAGGTTACTTTTTTTTCTAGTTTTGGTGAAAGATCTGGGTAGGGAATGTTTTTAGCAAAACTCAGCTTGAAACTGTTATAGTAGGGACTACATGTAGGTACATGTAATTTGTTCTTTTTTAAGGGTTTCAATGGTATTTTATGTTAATTGATCAAAGGTTAGGTCAAAATAATCACTACATGTTGTTTAGTGGATTTGTGAATCTACCGGTACTTGTACAACAGCTGATATCCTGACTCCACTCCAACTTTGTGGGTTTGACCCCATCCAAGACAACCTAACCCTAAGACAGATGATGTCATGACAGTTGAGCAGAGTTCAAGTATGCTGGAAGTGTTAAGACATCAGG